TTTGTATGTAGAACTCTTGCCTTAGGCAGTTTTCCGAGAAGTGGAATTACCAAGTCAACTGCTCTGAATGTTTTCAAGTCCTTTCATTCATTCAGCACCTACCGGGTATTTACACGGTGCCTGGCCAGATAGAAAATGAACAAAATGTGGTCTTGGTCCTTGTTCTCAACGAGTTCACAGGTGGAGGGGAAAGCATGTTGTCAGACACCTTTCCCATAGGGTGGTACCAATTTCCTAATCAGGGCTTTCCTGGTGGCGCAGTGGTTGGGAGTCCGCCTGCCGATGCAGGGGACACGGGTTCGTGCCCCGGTCCGGGAAGGTCCCGCGTGCCGCGGAGCGGCTGGGCCCGTGAGCCATGGCCGCTGAGCCTGCGCGTCTGGAGCCTGTGCTCCGCAACGGGAGAGGCCGCAGCGGTGGGAGGCCCGCGTACCGAAAAAAAAAAAAAAAAAAATTTCCTAATCAATGAATTCCTAATAAATCCCCTAAGAAGTAGTCCAATTTTACCACATCAACACGATCAGCATTCAAATAAATAAACCAAACCCCATACTGGGTTTACTAGGAGGTAAAAACTGAGATCTTGTCTTAATTTGAATTAATGTTTACTGCTTAGCTGTGCCTCCTCTATGAATCACTTCATGTTTTGGTTCCGATTTTACTGGAAGCTGGTATAGTTCTCAGTAATTTATATGTTTTCTTTACAGAGCAAAGACTTGCGGTCACTGTCAGTATGTGCTGCCGCACGTTTTTTCTCGTTTACCATTTCATCTATTTTTTTCCCGCTTGGAAGGATTTCCACTAATCTGTACTTGGAGCTATGCCATTCAATCTCTACGGAGAGATTTCCTAAGAAACTACTCAATGAAACCTGCTGCTTTCTTTACTGAAAGGATATTTTTGAAGATAATGTAGATTATGTTAGTTTCCTCTTTATGAGAACCCACAAAAGAAGTTTCTTTCTGAGTACCAGAATAATTATGCTTCCTGAGTAGAGGGTTTATTTTTATGTTGTGAACACAGTGAATCATGGAACCGATCACGTCTTCTTTACATCGGTGCCTAGAAAGGGTCAACTGTACAGCTCACCGCTAGCAAATGCCAGCACTTTTAAAGCACACATTTTTGGGGAATTCCCTGGTGGTCCCGTGGTTAGGACCCTAGGCTTTCACTGCCAAGGGTGGGTTCAATCCCTGATCGGGAGCTAAGATCCTGCATGCCTCAAGGCCAAAAAAAAAAAGCACATATTACTGTACACTTCATACCTGGCTTTAACTTATTTCCCTAGTTTCATTTTCCCTTTGTTTTATTTTCCTTATCCATTTATTTAAAAAATTTAAACCAGTTATTAAAATAATGAGGTACAAAAATGCTTATCTTGCTTGAAAAAAACTGGAAAGTTCAAAAAAGTATAAAACAAAAGGTACAAAGTCCCACCAAACACTGTGTTAGAACACAAGGGAAAAAAGGACATACACTATAGGATATCACTTACATGTGGAATCTAAAAAATACAAATGAATGTATATAAAAAATAGACTCACAGACATAGAAAACTAACTATGGCCACCAAAAGGAAGGGGGAAGGCGGAGGGACAAATTAGGAGTATGAGACTAACAGATACAAACTACTACACATAAAATAGATAAGCAACAAGGATTTACTGTATAGCACAGGGAACTATATTCAATATCTTGTAACAACCTATAGTGGAATATAATCTGCAAAGAAACAAAAAAAACCAGATCATTATGCTATACACCTGAAACTAACATAATACTGTAAATCAACTACACTTCAATTAAAAAAATAAATAAAGGACACAGTCCTGCTTTTAAGGAGCTGAGAAGCTAGTGGGCAAGAAACAAGCAAACACAATTATCAAGAAGCGTGGTAAGTGCCCTGACAGAATGTGCTATGGACACACACAGGAAGGGCATCTAATGCAGACTGAAGGCCTCTTGGAATGAATTCTGGGACAAATGATGCAAAGTCCAGAGGGGACAGCAGTCTAACAGAGAGAGAGAGGCCAGGGCAGCCCAAGTGATGGAAAAGACCTTACTCACTGAGCTAAGGAGTTTAAACTTGACCCTGAAGACCACGGAGAGTCACTGCAGGATTTTAAATGGGATATAAATGACACAGATTAGCATTTTAGAAAAAGACATCTGAGAGTGGTGTGCAGAACGAATTGATAGTGGATAAAAAAATGAACCAGTAGGGGGCTTCGCTGGCAGTCCAGTGGTTAAGACTCCGTGCTACCAATGCAGAGGGCGCAGGTTTGATCCCTGGCTGGGGAACTAAGATCCCACATGTCTCGCGGCCAAAAAACCCAAAACATAAAACAGAAGCAATATTGTAACAAACTCAATAAAGACTTTAAAAATGATCCGCATAAAAAAAAGTCTTAAAAAAAAAAAAGAATGCTATGAATTTTTGCCAAACTTGTTAAATTTAACCTCTTGAATTCAGTTTTCTATAAGTATTTCTTATCACCCAATGAACATAATTTTATCTCTTCTTTTCAAATATTTATAACTTCATTTCTTATTGTATTGGCCACACAGTATTTTTTTAAAATAATTAGGTTATAAATTGAAAAATGGCCAAAGAAAACAAAATAAGAGATTTGGGAAATGATTCAAATGCTTTAAGAACTTAATAGTACAAGCCAGAAGCAACATAACAATGGAGAGAGGATATGCTTGCCGTTGAAGACAGGTTGCTGGGAGAGCCGGGAGTCCTCCTGACCATCAGTGCAGTGCAATGAGAATTGGCTGCTCTTTCAGATGGGGCACATGGTAAAATGTAAGGAAAAGAAGAAAGAAAATGGAACAGCATATTTATTCCAGCTGTGGAAGGAAGATAAATTGTGAAATAAAGGATATTATCACAGACAAACTGAGTATGAATATATAAAAATAAAATAGTTTTGCCCATGAAATATTTTAAAAAGGGGACGAGGACTTCCCTGGTGGCGCAGTGGTTAAGAATCCGCCTGCCAATGCAGGGGGCATGGGTTCGATCCCGGGTCCAGGAAGATCCCACATGCAGCGAAGCAACTAAGCCCATGCGCCACAACTACTGAGCCTGCGCTCTAGAGCCCGCCAGCCACAACTACTGAAGCCCGCGCACAGAGCCCGTGCTCAGCAACAAGGGAAGCCACCGCAATGAGAAGCCCACGCACCGCAACAAAGAGTAGCTCCCGCTCGCCGCAGCTAGAGAAAGCCCACGCACAGCAACGAAGATCCAAAATGGCCAAAAATTTTTAAAAAATAAAAAGGGGAAGAAATAGAAGAGGAAAAAAATAACTGATGTAATCTTATAAGCACACACACGTGTGTGAATAAGTCTATTACAAGTATGAAATATGTATGGTCAGCACAATATTTCATTGAATATATGGTCAAATGGTCAAAAGAGATAGATGATCGGTTTATACACAAAGGAAATAAAAATGGTAAATTATCATGAGACACTGGCTAGCCCCTCAGGAAATGAAAGAAATTGAAAAACACTTTTATGAAATCGTTTACACACTTGTTAACGTAAGAAATTGGCAAAGCTAGAATACAATGTAAAGAAATGTATACTTATGTATTGCTGATAGCACTGTCAACTAGCCCCTAAGCTCCCTGTAAATCCATATAACACATGCAACGACAGCTATATGCAGGCATGCACGTACAATGTGCAGCCATGCACTCTGACCTCTTAAGTCCACTTGGAGAAACTATATCCCCAAAAGGGGAAACAGTCATTTATTTAATGGTATTCAGAGTAAAACTATTCATAACAGGAAAACAATGAAAACAATCCAAGACCCTAAGAAAGTAAACCGGCTAAATGAACCACAGGACAGCAACAAGATGTATCATCCAGTCTTTTGTTTGTTTCACTTAGGTTTAAAAAAAAATTGTTTTTGCGGTATAGTTGATGTAGAATATATTAGTTTCAGGTATGTAACAGTGATTCACAATTTCAAAAGGTTACACTCCATTTATAGCTATTATAAAATATTGGTTATATTACCCATGTTGTACAATATATCCTTGTAGCTTATTTATTTTATACATAGTAATCTGTACCTTTTACTCCCCCACCCCTACTTCGCCCCTCCCCACTTCCCTCTCCCCACTGGTAACCACTAGTTTAGTTTGTTCTCTGTATCTGTGAGTCTGCTTCTTCTTCTTCTTTTTTTAAAAATACTTATTTATTTGGTTGTGCCGGGTCTTAGTTGCAGCATGCGTGTGGGATCTAGTTCTCTGACCGGGGATCAAATCCCAGGCCTCCTGCATTGGGAGTGTGGAGTCTTAACCACACCACCAGGGAAGTCCCAAGTCTGCTTCTTTTCTGTTATATTCACTAGTTTGTTGTATTATTTTTTGGATTCCACATATAAATGATATCATACAGCATTTGTCTTTCTCTGTCTGACTTATTTCACTGAGCATAATGCCCTTGAAGTCCATCCATGTTGTTGCAAAGGGCAAAATTTCATTCTGTTTTATTGCTGAGTAGTATTCCATCTTCTTTATCCATTCCTCTGTTGATGGGCATTTAGGTTGCTTCCATGTCTTCACTATTGTAAATAGTGCTGCTATGAACATTGGGGTGCATGTATATTTCTGAATTAGTGTTTTCATAGTACGGTTTTTTAAGAGGACACAAATGGGGACAGAAATAACTAGAAATGCAAAGGGAGAAACTCAAACGAGTGCTTTGCAAAACATGCATATACATATGTGACTTAAGAAGGATGTAGATAGAGAACATTTTCCTACACTCTCATTTTATTTAGGTACAACGGTCCTGGGAGCTATCCAGAAGCCAACCTGGTACTATTCAACTAATGGAACAACTGTTATCTCCTTCCTTTAACATAACTTGATACAGTAGGCACCTTCATCCTCCAATAAGTGCCATCATAGGAACATACACTCAGCTTCACAGCTTAGGTTTCTAGAAGGAAAGCAACTGCTAAATTGTCTAGTGGGCTTACCGTGAGTGTGGCGAGTGACATGAAGCCAATTAGGTTATTCCATACTTTATCGATGTCCTTCAGCAACTGCTGGAGTTTCTCACTGCACACTGCAGTGGCTTTTATCCCCAGCTCCACACGTTTGGTTACCCTGTACACCTCAACAACACCTGACAGGGTGAGAGAGGACAGAGTTAGGTGCTGGAAGCGTACAGAAAGAGTTGAGCAAGACACAACAGCCTTACTGCTGGCTGATACTCTAGGTGGAAACTGGGACTGTATCTGGACAGACATGAACTTACTATTCTTTGGGACCAACCAACTCTTAATGCTGCAGTATAAACTCATTGGTAAGAGCACAGACTCTAGAGCTACACTGCTTGGATTCAAGTCCCAACTCTGCCACTTAACTAGCTGTGTAACCTCAGGCAGGTTGCATAACCTCTCTGTGCTTCAGTTTCCTCATCTGTAAAATTGGGATAATAGTAGTACCTCCTCAAAGGATGGTTGAATTAAGGGATTAAATGGGTTAATACTGTAAAAGGCTGAGAACAGTAGGCATTAACTAAGTATTAGCTATTTTTTTCTGGCTTCTTTATGAGTCCATTTGTTTGAATTTGGGAAATACCATTAAACTCACTGAAAATAGGAATATTAACAGTTTAAAAGAATCGGAATATCAATATCACTACACAGGCACACCTCGCTTTATTGCACTTCACTTTGTTGTGCTTTCCAGATATGTTTTTTACAAATTGAAGGTTTGTGGCAACTGTGCATCAAGCAAGTCTATAAGCACCATTTTCCTGACAGCATTTGCTCACTTTGCATCTCTGTCACATTTTGGTAATCTCACAATATTTCTAACGTTTCCATTATTATCATATTTGCTATGGTGATCTGTGATCAGTGATCTTTGATGTTACTATTGTAGTTGTTTTAGGGCACCACAAACCATGAAGCACGTGTTCTGACTGCCTCACTGACCTGCTGTTCCTGTCCATCTCCTCCACAGGCCTCCCTATTCCCTGAGACACAACAATATTGAACTTAGGCCAATTAATAACCCTACAATGGCCTCTAAGTGTTCATTGAAGAGTCTCACGACTCTCACTTCAAATCAGAAAATATAAATGATTAAGCTTAGTGAGGAAGGCATGTCGAAAGGCAAGATGGGCCAAAAGCTAGGCCTCTTGTGCCAGACAGTTAGCCAACTTTCGAATGCAAAGGAAAAGTTCTTGAAAGAAATCAAAAGGGCTACTCTAGTGAAAATAAGAATGATAAGAAAGCAAAACAGCCTTATTGCTGATATGGAGAAAGTTTTAGTGGTCTGGATAGAAGATCAAAGCAGCCACAACATTCCCTTAAACCAAAGCCTAATCCAGAGCACGGCAGTAACTCTCTTCAATTCTGTGGAGGCTGAGAGAGGTGAGGAAGCTGCAGAAGAAAAAAGTGTGAAGCCATCAGAGGCTGGTTCATGAAGGTTAAGGAAAGAAGCCATCTGCATAACCTAAAGTGCAAGGTGAAGCAGCAAGTGCTAATGGAGGAGCTGCGGCAAGTCATCCGGAAGCTCTAGCTCAGGTAATTAACAAAGGTGGCTACATTAAACGACAGACTTTCAGTGTAGATGAAACAACTTTCTATTGGAAGATGCCATCTAGGACTTTCGTAGCTAGTGAAGAGATGTCGATGCCTGGCTTCAAAGCCTCCAAGGACAGGCTGACTCTCTTGTTAGGAGCTAATGCAGCTGGTGACTTTAAGTTGAAGCCAATGCTCATTTACTATTCCAGAAATCCTAGGGCCGTTAAGAATTATGCTACATCTACTTTGCCTGTGCTCTCTCTATAAATGGTACAATAAAGCCTGGATGACACACATCTGTTTACAACACGGTTTACTGAATATTTTAAGCCCACTGTTGAGGCCTAATGCTCAGAAAAAAAGATTCCTTTCAAAATATGAGTGCTCAGTGACATTGCACCTGGTCACCCAAGAACTCTGATAAAGATACACAACAAGGTTAATGTTTTCATGCCTGCTAAACACACAACATCCATTCTGCAGCCCATGGATCAAGGAATAATTTCAACTTTCAAGTCTCAGTCTTTAGGAAATACATTTTGTGAGGCTGTAGCTGCCACAGATGGTAACTCCTCTGATGGGTCTGGGCAAAGTCAATTGAAAACCTTTTGGAAAGGATTCACCGTTCTAGATGCCATTAAGAACATGTGTGATTCACGGAAAGAGGTCACAATATCAACATTAACAGGAATTTGGAAGAAGCTGATTCCAACCCTCAGGGGTGACTTTGAGGGGTTCAAGACTTCAGTGGAGGAAGTAACTGCAGATGTGGTGGGAAGAGCAAGGGAATTAGAATTAGAAGTGGAGCCTGAAGATGTGACTGAATTGCTACAATCTCATGATAAAACTTAACAATGAGGTATTGCTTCTTATGGATGAGCAAAGAAAAGTGGTTTCTTGTGGTGGACTCTACTCCTGGTGAAGACTGTTAAAATGACAACAAAGAATTTAGGATATTACATAAACTTAGTTGATAAAGCAGCAGCAGGTTTTGAGAAGACTGACTCCAATACTAAAAGAAGTTCTCTGGTGGGCAAAATGCTTTCAAACAGCGTTTTATAGTATATGGAAATGGTTCATGAAAGGAAAGGAAGAGTCTATCGGTGCAACAAACCTCACCGTCATCTTACGGCACCCCCCAGCCTTCAGCGACCACCCTGATCAGTGAGCAGCCATCAACATGGAGGCAAGAGCCTCCCCACCAGCAGAAAGATTATGACTCACGGAAGACTCAGATGATGGTTAGCAGTTTTTAGCAATAAAGTATTTTTATTTTGTTTTTTGTTTTTTCTTTTTTCAGTATGTGGGCCTCTCACTGTTGTGGCCTCTCCCGTTGCTCCGGACGCGCAGGCTCAGCGGCCATGGCTCACGGGCCCAGCCACTCTGCGGCATGCGGGACCCTCCCGGACCGGGGCGCGAACCCGTGTCCCCTGCATCGCCAGGCGGACTCTCAACCACTGCACCACCAGGGAAGCCCGCAATAAAGTATTTTTAAATTAAGGTATGTACATTGTTTTTTTAGACATGATGCTATTGCACACTTAACAGACTACAGTAATAGTGTAAATATAATTTTTTTATGCACTGGGAAACCAAAAAATTCATGTGACTCGCTTTATTGAGATATGTGCTTTTTTGAGATATATGCTTTATTGCGGTGGTCCGGAACCAAACCCGTGATATCTCCGAGGTCTGCCTGTTATTAAGAAGTATCTCACTCCTCTGAATGCCCAAAGATCTACAAAGTCTGTGGCTTCATGTATCTTTTATACACTTAACAGGACACAGAATGGTTCTTTGCCTGTGGTCGCTGATTTATGGCTGAATTCTTTCAGCAAGGATGAGGGTGCCAAGGTCTCCACATTCTAAGGACAGCTGCCAGACGTACCCCCCAACCCCTCCACCAGCCGCTATAAGAGAGGACTGGAAGAATCCCAGGGGGTCTTCAGTGGTACATGCTCAGCCTCTGTACAGCACCACAGCTTGTCCTTCCTCCCCCAGGGGAAGGGCAGGAATCACAGCCCACTCTAAGCCAAGTGAGGGGGCTTCTCAGATGGTCTTCCACACTAGAAAACTAGTAGAAGGAAAGACAGGCACCCCATTACCCGGTGAACATCTGTTTATGCAGCAGAATTGTGCCTGTCTGGGCAGGACAGCGGAACCAGAGCAAGGTGGCAGGAGGAAGGAGAGCTCACATCCCTTCGTAGCCACTCATGCAGCAAGTATTTGCGAGTGACCATTATGTGCCCGGCCCTAGTCTAGGTGCTGAAGACCCAGCAGTGAGCAAGACGGACCCAAATCCTTTCCTTCTTGGAGGGTCATTCTAGTGGAGGGAGACAGATAATAAGAACAGTAAGTAAAGCATTTAAGATATTAAAGGTGACAGGGCTAGGGAGAAAATCAAGCAGGGAAAGAGACGGGAAGTGCCAGGGTGGGGAGACACGACATGGCTTTGAGTAAGACAGGCCAGGAAGACCTCACTTAGAAGGTGACATTTGAGTAAAGATCTGCATGTGGCTCTGGCCACGGGACAAGCCTGAGCTTGGGGAGGAGAGGACCACTGAAATGGACAGGGATTGAGATTTCATGTTGGACTGGCATGTCTGATAGCTGCAGGTGGCCAGGAAGTTAAGGAATCTGTGATTCAACACAGCATGGTAAGAATTGATTGGAGACCCAGTGATTTAATTTTCTTTTTTAAACCAATGATTTAATTTTAATGCCTCATCTAGTTCAGACTCTTTGATAAACCAGTAATTTTACACTGTGTATAACAAGGACTGGGAAACCTGGCCAAAGAGACCCGAAGTCAAATAGTTGTTCCTGTCTGGGACTTAAGTGTCTTCTCTACAAATGCAGACACTACTTAGTGAAGTCATATGTGGCTTGAGGGATCTAGATTAAGCTATGTGACATAGGGACAACTGAAAAGACTGCAAAGTGTCATGATTTTGGATAAGCAAAATCTAAAAGCACATACCTAATAAGTATTCCATGCCTTGAGCTGACTGAATTACTTCTGTGCACACAGAACTACTACTGATTCCATTTAAGGTATCATTGGCCTTCTTAATGACCTACAAAGAAATGAAATCACATCACCTTAAGTAATCAGGAAAAGTCATTACACATCAATTTACTATCAGTAGAAAACCCAACAGAAAGCCAGGAGGTGTGGAAACACATGACTGATTGATGTATATAGAGGACTATGCTGAAACAAATCTGAGAATTTAATTTTGACACTGAAGAACCAATCCTTCATTTTTTTTGGAAGAGGAAAAATAGAGGTTCTTTATAGCTTAAATATTATTTTAACTTGGGCAGAGATAATGATATCATTTTGTTATGTCTTAAACACAGTGACAGAAGAGGGCACGGTAGTTGAGTGAGCTGTGTCTACTATCATAGATGGGAAAGAAGCCTTGCTTAAGATGTGTGACTTTCCACACAGCTTCTCTTTGCGCAAGGCCATCGAGGCAGAGCTCTGTGAGGCTGTCCAAATGAACCCAGAAGGCAAGATATGTACACAAGGGGCATTTCCGTACGTGTGAACATCACGAAAGTGACAAACTCACCTCTAGGGCACTCCCTAGGCACCGCTGCCATTCATATGCATATCTCTCATTCTCCTGTGAATTTTATAAAAAGAACTGGGTCAAACCAGCAAGCCTGGAATCCTATTTGTTACTTCTGTCAATTCAGAGTACTGAAGACTTTCCTGTGCATGAAAATCACTCTAGTCCAAGCACAATTTATCTTTTTGAACCCACTAGTGACAATTCTTAATTCCTGATAAATGTAACTTCCAAGCACATGACTTGTAAATCTGAGGGAAATGTTTCTTCGTTGATTCCCTTTGTAAATGTTGCCTCATTTGTTCCACTAACAGCGGAAGCTTCTTTAAAGGCACTCACCATATAGGTGTCTAGTACAAGGGCCAGTATCAAACCACGGCTTCCGGCGCCATGGCTTCCTGAGTGTGTGTGTGCGCGCGTGTGTGCCAGGGAGGGACGAGGAGCGCTAAGAGTGTTGGCTGGAGGAGGAAGGCAGCATGGGACTACGGCGCTGTGAACAGGAGCAGTGAGAGGACCCAGGACATCTGCCCTTTCTCCTCTATTTTGATGCTTTACCATTCACTAAGATGATAAAGTCTACGTGCTCAAAAAGAACTCCGTGAAACACCTGCCTGCCTGTGAGGTCCCAGGAATAGTTCCAGTTTTAGGGTCACTGACTACTTTCAGTGATGCCACATCTGGGAGGTACTTTCACCTGGGGCTAACGTCACCATTCTCTCACTGTAATTACGTACTTTACGTCTGGTGCTTTGTGACGCTCTGCCCCTGATTCCCCAAGTGAAAGCTGCAAGTGCTTTTTCTCAGGGCCCTCAGGGGCTCAGCCCCCTGTGGACGAGGAGCCCGCTCACCTCCACCTCTCCTGTCAGGTCTTTGTACTTGTCGCGGATGACGGGCAGGGCGGGCTTCTCGCTCAGTGTGTTGGAGCGGTCTCTGAAAGGCTGCTCCAGGGCCGGAGAAGGAGAAGAACGGCTTATTTCTTTATCACCAAGGCTCAGACTCCTCTTGTGCGATCCTGGGGGAAGTGGATGGCACAAAGGTTCTGATTACTCAGCTTAGTGCAAGCAGAGGCTCTTCCTTGCTAACGCGACCCTCTTTTCTTAGATGTTTGTGTCAGGAGGCGTTCACACCCCTCACTCAGCCTGTCTGGCAAGCTACATGTTGAACGCTTTCATTTGTTCTCTCTTGCTTGAGTTCCTTGCCTTTAATTTTCTCCATTACGCTTCTCCGATCTATCATAATTCTTCCATAATTCTAAGTGCGGAATCACTGGAGTCTGGAGGGCTAAAGGGTCCTTCTAAGTATCAGTGCATAAGAGGTGTGTTGCTTCTCCAGTCATCAGTTAGGGATTTGTACCGACTTCCTCCATCTCTCCCAATCTAATGGAAATCAACGAGCCCTTCTGTCAGGATGCGATTAAAGCAAAAGAGGCAAACTTAAATGCCTTCAGAGGACAGGCAAGCAAAGTAAATGACTGAAGAAGGTCACTGGACATGGAAGCAGTGGGGACTGCGACACTGGGGGAGCACACCTCAGCTGTCAGAGGGGGATGTTGCTACTCAGCTCCAGCTGCCTGTCAAGAGGTGGGAATGTAGGCCTAGTACCGCCAGATGCTACAACTTTTCAAGAAAAGCTAGAGGGACTTCCCTGGTGGTCCAGTGCTTAAGACTCCATGCTCCCAATGCAGGGGGCTCGGGTTCGATCCCTGGTCAGGGAACTAAGATCCCACATGCCGCAACTAAGCCCGCGCACTCTAGGGCCTGTGCACGGCAACTTGAGAAGACCTAGCACAGCCAAAAATAATTAATTAAAAAAAAATAAGCTTACAAAAAAAAAAGAAGAAAGAAAAGCTAGAAATCCAGATTGTGAAGTGTCATGATTTCTATGTATCTGCAGCTGCTTCACATATTAGAAAACCTTCCATGTGGGTCAATCAAAACAGGTCTGCAGGCTGGATCCAGATCCACAGCTACCACATTGCAGCCTCTGGATGAAAAGATATAGTCCATAGCCAGCGAACAAGAGCAGAACTAACTTGCCCACAAGGGGATCAAACCATTTCTCTGTCTTTTAACACGGCACACCTCTACCCCAAACAAGCAAATGAACAACAGACTCGGTGCTATGCTTATTTTTAGCCCCAAAAGCAGTTATCTGAGGGATACTGGTTTAATTTCAGTTCAGTCTCAGGAAAACCTTCTTTTATAGCTATCTGTCATAGACTCTGATTTTAAACACTGGAAAATCTATTCCTGCTATCCCAGGGACTAACTTCGTATTCTAAGAAAGAACATCTAACACTGCAGTGGAAGAAACCATGACGTAAAATCTATGTTGGAAGCCACTCACCTTGAACGGAAAGGTCAAAGGTTGCCAGCTCACTTTTGATCATTTCTTCACTGGATTTCATTTTGCCTTGTGAATTGGCCACTAAAAAGTCAAATTTGCTGATTTTGGGCTTTTCACTTTGAAACTCTCCAAAGTCATCTGCACATTCTTTGGGGGTGTCGTGAGAAGCGCTGCTGGGGGCTGGGCTTGGGCACGTGGCCTCTTGGCTCCGTTCAGCCGCAGGCAGGTCCTGTCTGGTGAAATCCCTGTAGTCCTCGCTTTTATATTCCTTTTGCTCGCTGGCCTGTGGGGTCACATCTTTAAAATTGGCAAAAGCCGGAAAGGTCGTCTCTGGAAGAGCATCCTCGCTTGTGAAGGTTGTGACTTTGGAGAGAGGTGTCATGGTGAGGTTTTCGGTACTGCCAAACGAAGTCTCTTTCTTTTGAAGAGCAGCTGAGGAGGCCCTGCTTCCTGCTGAGAGGACAAATGGAGAGAGTTTTCTGCCCTGAGAGGCATCATCCCTGTCTGACCAGTCATAGCTCGTAAGTGTGCTCACTGCAAAATTGCTACTGTAGGTTCCAAAAGCAGCACATTTTAAGTCCTCTACATCTGAAAGGGAAATAAGACCCCACAATTAGAGGCAAGCTCACCATTTAGGCAAAATGCCCTAAGCTCTGCAGAAGCAAAATGTCTAGCACTTTTGATTCATTTTATGCGATGTTGGAGTTAGCTAAATTTAGAGCTTGTACTAAAATTAAAGAAGCTGGGCTGTAAAATCTGATCTTGAAAAACCCACGTTAGCCTTGAGTTGGCATTTATATTTAGTAACAAAGAGCCATCTTCTTTGGATAGTACAATTCTTAAAAAAAGGAGGTTCATCCACCAATGTATATACAGTTTGATATAAGAATAGGGTCATTTAATAAAATGTCCGTTCACTTATGAACTTTAAAACGTATTTACGATATTCCCTGCCTAAAACAAGTCTCTTTCGTTTTGACTTTGCTGGAAAATGTTCCTTTATAACATAGGCATATGAAATGTACACGACAAACTAATTAGAAATTGACAGTATCCCAAAACTAAAGTAAAAATAATGTTATTTAACTTTTAATCAGTTATTAGGAGTTTCTGTCTAGGCAAGGCCACATATGAGATTTTAATTGAGCAGTTACTTACCTAGTTGTTATTTTGGTCAATATGGACGTCATATTGCTGTGATGGAGTATGAGGAAAGAAAAATCAGTCTAAACTACTTTAATCACTAAAAAAATAGAATCAAAGGTCCGGGTCCTCTTGGGCTCCTGTTTCTCCTTCAACTATGTGTAACCCCCTCATTTAAAAAAAAAAAGGAAAAGAGAAGAAATGCTGCGGCAGAAGACTCATTTTACATGCTGAATATATCTTTAAATAATTTAAGAGGTGGTACAGAACAGCAGAAAGAATGTAGGTTTTTGACTCAGACAGACCTGGGTTCAACTCCCAGCTCTGCCACCTACCACTTGTGTGACACTAGGCAAGCTATTTAACATCTCTTAACCTCGGCTGGCTTATCTGTAAAAAGAGAAGACCATGCACTTGGAAGGGCTGTGTTATGACATTAACGATAACAAGTGTAAAGGGCCCAGCCCAGGGCCTGGTGAGCAACACGGCAATTACTATACAGCATAGTTGCCACCAGCCTCAATGTGATATTTAGTTGCCTGCCTTAGGGCCTAAAATAGAATTGTTTCAAAGAAAAAATGAAAAGTCAACCCATCCCTTTAGTGGTCTTAGTAGGGAAAATTTCTTGCTCATTTTCATAAAGCAAAACCAGCTGACGCTGAGTAACACTGGTGTGGAGAAGCAACTTTCCAGCAGTGCTGTCCATTCAGTCTGGCTGAGAGGTGTTTGGTCTCATTTTGGTCATTGTACACCAGGTAAGAAGGCCAAATGCAAGACTCCCTCTCTGACAACCACAAACATGGATTAAAGGAAAATGCTCAAAAGTTCTGTGACCCAGATTTTCGTAACTCAGTCAACAGGTAAAGCAACACTGGGTTTCTTCATCTCTCTTACACAGCAATGTTGCATAGTTTATAAAAAGGAAGGGATTCCTGACATTGCTCCTCTAACAGTGCACCCCAAATAGCTCTCTCTCTCTCAACCCTATTAGGAAAAGGGCACTAACTGAATAATAAAAAAAATGGAAAACCCGAGATCTACAGAGAGGCCAACCAGTGAAAAGCAGGTAACTGCCACAGAACAGCAGTATATTTTAAAATTCCGTAGTGCAAATGGTACCCTTCAAATTTAGCTTATTAAACAGGAGGGAAAAAAAGATTCAGGTGAAAAATGTACAGTTTAGAATGAATGAAACAAGACTTTAGGCAGAACACCCTCTTAGTCTCTGGCTGTAGTGTTTATTTTCCCCACTATTTAAAGGGATCAGAAGGTGCCCTGACTCAAATGAAGTGAAATTCTATCAGGAGGCAGATGCAGTTAAACACAAGATGAGTGAGTCTTCAAGGGTTACATTCAGAAGAATGTGTCAGAACATGAATTTTTTATTATTACATCCTACCAGAAAGCGCTTTGAAGAAGCTGTATTGTGAACTACTCCCAGAATCTCATCTACTAAAAAGGGTAGCAATTTTCCTAGAGACCAAAGATAAATTTAATAAAAAGTCAAGCTCTTGTTCAAACATTACAACTAAATTGCTATGGTAATAAAAAAGACCCTTTTGTGCAATTATGCAGCAAGAAAAAACAAGTTTTTTTTTTTTTAAACAGAAATGATTGTAATATAATCAGGCAGAAGGCATTATAAGCAGTAAGGGAATACCTTAGCTGAAGACCTTTTAAGTATTTTTTATAACATTATAGGTCTTCAAGAAACGTTTCTTTTATTAAGAATGATAAACGTAACATTTTGCCTTTTAGAACAACTCACAGAAATGACCAAATGAAAGATTAAAAAAGAAAAATTTTATATTTTATAAGATAATGAAGAGTAATGATACTGGATATATGAAAGTCAAGCCTCAAGGCTGATTTTTAAAATTTTACTTTTGCTTATTTACTAGCTATATAGTGTAAAAAAACAATTTACTAAAGTGCAATTCATTTGAACACATAAGGAAGTACTGCTACTACATAAGGAACGTGAGAACACTCTATTCCTAAACCTTAGCATTTATAAGCAATATAAAAATACAGTTTTATTTCCTAGCATGGTGAATATTAGTTAACTGTTTTTTTTTTTAAGTAAACCTTTTTTTTAGAAAAACGTGGTAAATCAGCTCACTGAGGGTAGATTAAACCAAGAGAATTCCTTATTTCCCATGTTAACAGTTCTATGTTTTCTAAGCAGTCAAACGACATGTATTATTGTACGATGGTCTTAAAAATAGTAAAGATTCTATAAGAGCCACAACATGAGTGATGGAAAAAATAATACGGAATAACCCACATTTTATTTTGCAATCACTGAAATTACTGTAGGTGGGTTTTCAATTTGATAGCTGAATTCTGAAAATTGCAAGAGAAAAAGGAAAAGAAAACAGAATGAATGCAATAAAAGGAACAGAGGATCACTGCTGTACTTCTGATTCTACTGGAAAACTCTTAGGCTGTGCTAGGTTGAACTGCAATTGCACACAGATAATGTGCCAAATTGTGTGCTTTAATATATGTACTTGTTTGCAACCAGGAATGTCTTGTTACTAAGGCCAAAGGAATAAACTATACAATCTGTTTTCTATCATGGGTCTCAAATTAAGACATGGATTTCTTGCTTACACTGGCAAGTAACCCTATCAGTCTCTTCCATAACCTCTATTCACGTCCCTTCTGCGCGGATGTTGTACGTGAAAACAAGGTATTTCTTGGAACAAAGAATGTGAGCTGCTGCTACAGGACACAGAAGGCCATACCGATTCCCATGGATCTTTTCTAAAGCTGTAAGCATATGTGCCCAGGTGGTTAAGAGTTACTGGCTTTTGAGAAAGGCGTTTAGAAAAAGAAAAGAGATACATGTGCAAATTCCACTGTTCCCTAGTGTTTTATATAGCAATTAAATTGTTCATTGGCCTAAGGAATAAACAGCTTTTAATTTCCAATACTCATTTAATCCAAACTCCGTTTTACCAAAGCAAATCATGAAATATTTATACACTTCAACTTCTTTCCATTCCTGGCCTTATTCTACCTTCTGAAGTCAGTCATACTTACATTCTCTATTAACTACAGAACCTGGCCCGACTGTGTCCTCTAAGTATCAAACACCCTGACAGGTGTTGGTGAAGAAAACAGGAATGAAAGTGATCACAGTGTAAGAATGACAGGCCATAAAATGTTGCTGTATAATCGCCTTCCAGTGTTTCCTAATCTGTATAGAAACCTCCCATTCTTCATGTGTATTACTCATATAAATCTATAGTTTAAATGTTGTCAGGCTATCAGTAAGCACCTGCAGGTTTCCGGGTCAGTGCTTTAAGTTCAATAAAGAAAAGTGGCAATCCTGTGGATATTTTCAGTCCAGAGGAGGCTGGAAGGCCACAGAATGGTGCCAAGACATACAGTGGGACATGGTCATCATTAAAAATCCCACAGAAAAAAATCAAATGAGCACAGAAGATGGCAATTACAACTAGAGCCTTGTGACCATGCAAGGGAGAGGGGAGCACCCAGAAGACCATACTATGCATATGACCCTATATAGCTAATGGGCCAACATTTTCCAAAACAACCTATGAAAAGCATTCAACTGATGGAAAAACAAAGCTGGAAACAGCTCTTTAAATATTAAATTGGTTTGATTCTTTGAGTTATTTTAGGATTTAGCCCAGCTTCTTTGATATTGCCAGAATCCCCTTCATGTTCATTAGCTACTTTTAAAAATCAGCAGGGATTTTAATGTGAAAAATAGAGTGACTGTAAGATATAAATACATTTGTATAATTTCTCAGGCACTGATGTGTGAAGTCAGGCACTAACCACATCTTACTTTACTTGGCACTGGGGTAAACCAAATGGTGTTTTTTGATTTGTTGGAACTTACAGAATACAGCCTTCAAGTCTTTACTGAAAGTTTATATTGTTATATGTATTATCAAAACTTCCTCCCTAAAAAGTAATATTACTCTGGAAACATTGCTCAATTTGTGAATGTGATTGTTTTATGCACAGGTATATTCATTTTCTGGAGCCTGCTTAAATGCAGAAAGGAGTTAAAATAAGGCAGTCCCAGGTGGACCAATATAGCACTAAGTAATTCCACTGACAGAGGAATTCCTTAGCCAAAGCCATCATGAGACTGGCGCCAGAACATTCTAAAAGAAAGGCAACTGATATTTTCACTAGGTGGAGGCTACACCAAAATCTCCTTCTTCCAAATTAGTTAATACACATCATAATTAAAACATAGTATGATTATACAAGGTTTCGCAAACCAAGTATTATTCACTTTCTAAAGAATTATGCTCTGGAAAACACGGTATTGTGAATGGCAGACCCAGCTTTTCTTAGTGTTAATCTAAATCCCAATATGCAACTTTTCTTTTTTCTCAAATGGCATAGTTCAGATACTGTAAGTAATCTCTCAGGAATCCTATGCAAAATCCTCACCTTCAACGGTTTAATTTCCTTTCTGACTCAAACTTTTAAAAAGAACAAAGAGCCAAAGCATCAAAATATAAGGAAAGGGCTTCCCTGGTGGCGCAGTGGTTGAGAGTCCGCCTGCTGATGCAGGGGACACGGGTTCGTGCCCTGGTCCGGGAAGATCCCACATGCCACGGAGCGGCTGGGCCCGTGAGCCATGGCCGCTGAGCCTGCGCGTCCGGAGCCTGTGCTCCGCAACAGGAGAGGCCACGACAGTGAGAGGCCTGCGTACCGCAAAAAAAAAAAAAAAAAAATATATATATATATGGAAAAAAATTTAAACCATGGAAACAACTCCCTTTTCCCAAGGTTTTTCACTATTATTATTCTCTAAAATGGAAAAAAATTTCCAAATTTGGCCTAGTCTTGCAGCTAACTTTTGTAGGTCTTTCTAAAATTGTTTTCTTAAAAATGAAAAGAGCTAAGAACTTGCTTTACGGACTAAGTTAAAAAAGACCAAGGGTGGCTTCATACTACATTCTGAAGCTGGAAAGATAACATGCTCTACAATTAGTGGACGGAGTGCCCAACTTCAAACTCAAATCAAATTCAGTCCTGGAGACTCCCTGGTATTAACAATAAACACTTTTCATTACAGAGATTATCAATCTAAATTCAGTTTACATTTACTCTGCTCAGAAGTTCATCTCAATACCATTCGATAATTTATTTTAAATTAAATTTATATATACCTAGTTATTAATAGATATGGCCCTTTCCCCAACACTAAACCCTTAGGTCTTCCCCTTCTCGTCACAGTATAATTCCTAGTGGAGACAGGCTCTGTGATGTTTACTAAGCAATAAAATATTCACTAGAAGTAAGGAATAAAATTTCTCTCTATTACGTAATGTAAGGTTTACACTTATCTTTTAAAACGTTTTAACTTACATTTTAACCCAGTGCCATGTTAAAAATTTATATCCGTGGAATTATAAGGGGAAAAGGCTAAAATGTACCAATAACTTTCTTAGGAGAAAGCTGTTTGAAGAAACAAAATAAACAAAAGGGAAAAAGCCCTCTAACCACAGGAGGGTTTAAACTTGATACTGACCAGGTATTTCTTTAGTCTAACCCTGGAAAAGTACAAATTACACACATCCCCACACTTTCAAAATGTGTGAAAGAATTATTTATTAACGTTAAGACTTACAGATCACAAAAGAGAGTGGTACAGAAGAGCTGGGAAAAAAGTCATCAGAATAAGCATGCAGATCGGTATTTGCAGAGGAATATACCAAAGCAAGTTTGAAAAGGCACATTCACACAGAAAATGTCTAAATTGAAAAAAAGACATCAGAGAAGCAGCCAAAAAAATAATAATAAAGCGCTGATTAAAATACAAAGATTTTCAATGTCAAAGAAGAGCTACTTTACAGGTAGGCAGGTAGCTACAGAAGCCTTGCTAACCCTTTGAGAGTGTCACAAATGAGGGGCAGCTCTTGCTGCCAACGAAACCAGATGATCTTAATGAGTGCACATCAAGATGCTTTAGTGCTGAGAGATTCAATTTGGAGGGGGGACAAAAGCAGCCTAGTTGAAATTATATGCAGCAAGGGCTCAAAGGGTTAAATGTAATAATACGCAGAGAAATCAGGCAATGTTATTAGTGTTATCTACCTTCCATACAAAGAATTATAGCAAGAGTTAAAAGAGACAGTATCCCCTTCAGAGTCGAGTTAGGGTTTCTAAACAGGATTAAGATCCAGAGATGATAATCTACTACGTTTTATTCTCTCTTCATCAGCCCACTTCTTATTTCTCCAACAAAAAGTACCCTTAACCCTCAAACTAAGAGAGCAAGAGATACTGTGCGTCAACATGAGGATAAACAAAAACCAAGTTGCACTGGAGAAGTCCCTGCCATTTACCCTCTTCAATACATTCACGCAGCAGTTTTGCTCAAGAACGATATAGCTCATTGGTCAGACATCAACCCCTTTTAACAACCACTCTAAAGGGATACTGCTCCTTTCGGACAGGAGGTTTACAGATCAAAAGGAGGGAACAATCCTCTTTTAAGAATATCCTCAAACTGAAGAAACTTGGCTTGAACGTTACAGGTTCCAAGCTGGGAATGTTCCAAACACACATAAAAGGACATGAGCACAGAAGATTATTTTAACAGGTCAATCAGAACAAGCTCAGTCACGAAACCAATCTCCCCTCCCCAAATGGAAAAAAAAAAAAAAAAAAGAAAAGACACCCTCCCAAACGCAGATTAGACTCGTCTCACAAAGAAATCGAGTTTGGCACTGTGAAAGAATATAGATTCACTTTCAGAAAAATAGCTTCTAATTAATAACTTCAGAGCCCAAAAGGCTAGTATACATGTTATGAGATTTTAAAATAAAAAGCCAATATTATTGTTCAGAAAATGGAGCACTTTGCAACCAACTGCTGTAGCTCAAGCAGCTCATACAAAAAAGAAACAAAATCACCCTAGCAAACAAACAGCGGCAAAAAAAAAAAAAAAAGGAAAACACTTGAAGAAGGGTACATTAGAAAAAGAAGTAGACAGTCAGGGGCACAAGGAGCCCTGCAGACAGCCCACTGCACTTGGCAAGTAGCCTGTGGAACACGTCACTCCTCCGATACCTTGCTCCCAATTCAGCACCCTGTTTAAGAAGACCTCTAACATCTCAATAGCCAAAGGATGGATGCAATTTTGTTTTCTGACTTACCAAATGGATATATGCAAAAGCCGCCATACTTTACTATTTCTTCCTGAATCTGTAAACTTGGGAGTGTCTTTTGTGTGTCCCTCTCTAGTTAAACGACAATGAACCCTTTGTACGCATAATGCATTTTCTGGAATAATACAGTAATGCTGAGATATTTCTCATTATTAAAGGCCACAAAATAGGTTTATCTTTCTATATACATATCAAAGAACAAAACAAAATAAAAACTAGGACACTTGGGAATCTAGTTTTTCTGACAGGAATTTGGACTAGAGAATCAACTGCTACATGTAAATCCATATGGAATTTAAAGAGGGCTCTCTTCTAAGATGTTTTCAAACATTTTATGAGAAAGTTAGTAGTTACCCTATCTACCATCTACAGTTGTGTTACAATTTACTACTCCCAGTAATAGCGTTAACACTGAAAACCGTACCTCAATTCCACTAACAACTCCTGCCCTCCTCCTTGCCAGACCCTGGCACACAGGGCATCCAGATACAAGCTCTTGCCCTCTTCTCTTATAGGGATGTGGCAAAACTGCAGTATAACTGGCTAGACACTGTTACTTTCTTGGTCTAACAAGAGTCGGTTTCTATAAACCAAACAGAATACTCTATTGGCAGCTGCCAAATATACCCAAGAGAAGAAAAAAGGAGAAGGAAACATTGACTTCACTCACAGAAATGGAGGAACATTACTGACACTGCAAAAGTCTTTATAAAATTTCTGGCAATGTGTGGCTCATTCAGCAGTGGATTTTGATGTGCCTCAGACACCAAGTTGGTGTTAGATTTCAAACGTAAAAATATCTTAGCTATCCAATCTAAGTTTCATTGCATTCATGGTATCCACATATCCAAGTATCCATAGAATCCAATTCAACACTGCTTTAAGGGGACTGGCAATGAAGAGGTTAATTATTAGACATTCATAAGGGTTAAGAGCCAGAGCCTTCCTCTTCTGTAAATCAACACCCACAGAACCATCTTTGAAATCTATATCACCATCACCAGAGCAATCTCACCAATTCCTCACCTGCAGCAGGAGGATGCTGGCCACTAACTGTTGGTAAATCCAAAGAGCTATCAGACATGACATGCTTAAGATCTCCTCCCACATCAGCCAGTTTCATGTCAAACTGAACAGAGAGTGCATCTTCAGAGTCCTCCTTGCCAGCACTGCTGCCACCAATGGAAGGGAGATCCAAGGACTTCACCGAAGCAGAGTCTTCTTTGGTGTGTCTGAAAGCCACTGCTTTCTCTCCCAGGGATTTGTCCGAGCTCATGGAAGAAAATTTACTGGAGTGGAAGTCAGCGAAATCATCATCGCTTTTTCCTGAAGGAGTGTTATCTTTCAGCTCTTCAACAGCTAGTCCCGATCCTTCCAGAGACAGCTGTCTGAAGACATCGTATTTGGTAGACGCAGCGGCAGAGTTCTGTCCGTTCTTCACTGTGCTGCTCACGCTGCTGCTTAAAGGAACCGGACTACTTTCCTCTTTAAGGGCCTCATATTTGTCATCTGCCTTTTGCTCAGATGAAATAGAACTATTACTGAAAGCCATAAAATCTGCAAAGTCATCCTGCTCCCCAACAGATGCTGGACTAGAATATTCCCCAAAAAGGTTGAATTCTCCAAAATCATCAGCCAAACTAGAAGTTTTAGTTGACGCCAATGTCGTCATGGGTGCCACAGATCCCGCGAGCTGGGGTCGTGAGGAAACAGATTTTGATGCACTGAATGCAGCTGAAAAGGACAATGGTTTCTCGCTGCTGCAAGTAACTGAGGAAAACATATCTAGGTCTGCTAAGTTCAGAGGATTTTTCACTTGTGTTTGTGGTTTCTGTTGGATAGCTCCTGAGGGGAAGGCTGCCGGAAAAGGTTTGTCTTTTGCTGGTGGCTCTAGTGGTGAGATACTATCGGCGGTTTTAAAATCGGTGAAACCATCATCATTTCCCGCAGATCTGAATTCTGCAAAGTTTTCTCCTGCAAGAAAAAACACAACCAAGTACAAAAGAATGCTGAGCCTAAATCCCATGATCCATATTAAAGTACAAGCATATTACAGACTTTTCCCTCACTGGCTTCACATTATTTAACCATAGTTTAATAATATCCCTACCAAATATCCCTTTTGTTTCCACACTGAAGGCTAGTGATAGGGAAATAAATAAAAATCAAACTGAGCACACGTATCACACGAGTTTCATTTGCTCATTTCAGTGTGATATGATATGTGACATGATATGTCTGTGCCAGAGCCTTCAGCTGTCCAAAAGCATTGCTCTAAGGATGTTTTCTCACTATTGCTAGCCAGCCAAGCATACAGGAGAATAAGAAACAGGCGCTGGACAGTGGTTAAGAATCCGCCTGCCAACGCAGGGGACACGGGTTTGAGCCCTGGTCTGGGAAGATCCTACATGCCGCAGAGCAACTAAGTCCGTTTGCCACAACTACTGAGGCTGCGCTCTAAGCCCGTTCGCCACAACTGCTGAGCCTGCACGCCACAACTGCTGAAGCCCGTGCACCTAGAGCCTGCGCTCTGCAACAAAGAGAAGCCACCACAATGAGAAGCACTTGCACCGCAACGAAGAGTAGCCCCTGCTCGCCGCAGCTAGGGAAAGCCTGTGCTCAGCAACGAAGACCCAACGCAGCCAAAAATAAATACATTAAATAAATAAATTAAAAAAAAAAAAAAGGAAATAGGCGCTGGAGGTTCCTGAAGAGAGGCATATTAAAACACACAGTGGCCCTTTAAAGATAAAATGTGTTACATGATAATCAATCAGAAAAAAAATATCACAGGTACCAATGAAGTATTACGAAAAATCCTGAATCTAATATTTAGGATGTACAAGACTCTGCTCAGCTAGGCACTTAAGCTTATGGTTAGATACTATGTGGTTTTGCTCAAGTATACTGAGGCATTAATTTGAAGGGATTTGATGAAAAATTCTGAAAAGGCATCTGCTTATTTGCAAAGCATTCTTGCTAAGGGCACATTATAAAGTAGTTCCTCCCACACTTTCCAACAAATAAGCTGAATCTTACCCCAAAAATCCATGAGTACTTGGGCTCTTCCTGAAATCAGCAATCTCACTGTACCAATCAGCACTTATCTATTACAATTCAAAGGGATCTGAATACCAATTCCATTATTACAAATTTTGAGGGGACTTCCCTGGTGTTGCAGTGGTTAAGAATACGCCTGCTAATGCAGGGACACAGGTTCAAGCCCTGGTCCAGGAAGATCCCACATGCCGTGGAGCAACTACGCCCATGTGCCACAACCACTGAGCCCACATGCCACAACTACTGAAGCCCGTGCACCTAGAGCCCGTGCTCCGCAACAAGAGAAGCCACTGCAATGAGAAGCCTGCGCACCACAACAAAGAGTAGCCCCTGCTCGCCACAGCTAGAGAAAACCCACGTGCAGCAATGAAGACCCAACACAGCCAAAAATAAATAAATAAATAATAAATAAGTTTTTAAAAAAATTTTGAGGATCGGCTTTAAACTTTAGTTTATATTGTGCTACTCTGAGGATGGGGTTACTGACAGCATTTTTTAAATTATTTTTTTAGTTAGAGAAAATAGGTACTAAGGTATTTCTCATAAATAATTAAATAGATGCAGTTAGATACTGATAAAAATCTGGGCCCATGGTTCTTAATAGGGTTTCTATTCTTTATTATCACAATAATTTTATCACTCATAGGCATAAGGTTAGGACACAGATGATCTCAGTTTTTGAATAGTGCCTGAAGGTCTTCCATAAAATCCACTAGGTTATACCAGATAATGAAAACCAGAGATAAACCAAATATAAATATAGCTATACTAACATCACTTATTATTTAAAAATATGAATGCCATTTCTGGAGAGTTATAAATTAAAACACAAGCTTTAATTTCTTCATCCATTTTTTAAAATTCTACTTTTCCCTAAAAATGAGATATAGAAGCATATGAACTATAAAAATGTGTGTAAAACCAAAATATAATTCTGCAAATTGTCACTTAAATAATGCAGGCTTTAAATATATTGTACTTATAACATGATATATACTTTGATACATCATATGAAAAAAGCATGGGGGCTTCCTTGGTGGCACAGTGGTTAAGAATCTGCCTGCCAGTGCAGGGGACACGGGTTTGAGCCCTGGTCTGGGAAGATCCCACATGCCGCGGAGCAACTGGGCCCGTGTGCCACAACTACTGAGCCTGCGCTCTAGAGTTCACAAACCACAACTACTGAGCCTGCGTGCCTAGAGCCTGTGCTCTGCAACAAGAGAAGCCACTGCAATGAGAAGTCAGTGCACAGCAACAACGAGTAGCTCCTGCTCGCCGGAACTAGAGAAAGACCACCTGAAGCAATGAAGACCCAACAAAGCCAAAAATAAATAAAATTAAAAATAAATTTATAAAAAAAAAGAAAGAAAAAAGCATGGAAAATAATGGAAGCTTATTTTCCCCCTATTTTGAGCTACTTAACAAATTCACCAGCATAATTTATCAACACAGAGAAATCTATTTAATATTAGGGAAATTTTAGAAAGAGAAGAACAGCATTCAGAATTTCTGTATTTTATGTTTTTATACATACCACTAATAAAACTAAAGTCAATTTCACAAAGTGACAGAAGCAGATGTAAAACTTTAAAAATCGCCCTAGAATTTTAGGCAAGTACATCACTGATAATATTTGTATTATTTGTGTAAATAAAAAGGTAATAAGCAGTCAATTTTGTCACAGCCTGAATTTTTGATGTGCTCCTTTAAAATATCTGTGAAACTGACAAGTTTTGCTTTGTTATTTTATAAAGGAAATCACCACAGCAAACTAAACTTACTGATGAATTGTAAACGTTTCCATTAGAAATGTAACCTGGGTGAAAGGGTTAAAAAGAAATAAAAATGGGTGGGTTTACATGTTCAAAAACACAGGGGCTTTTTGGGCAAATAAATTAGTTGCAGACACTGGAAGATTGCTTATCAGGAGGTACATTAAGCATATGACTTCATGGGTAGCTTTTCAGTCCACTTTTTTAAAGTTTTAAATTAATTAATTAATTTATTTTTGGCTGCATTGGGTCTTCGTTGCTGCGTGGGCTTTCTCTAGTTGCGGTGAGCGGGGGCTACTCTTCGAAGCGGTGCACGGGCTTCTCACTGCGGTGGCTTCTCTTGTTGTGGAGCACAGGCTCTAGGCATGTGGGCTTCAGTAGTTGTGGTATGCGGGCTCAGTAGTTGTGGTGCACGGGCTTAGTTGCTTTGCGGCATGTGGGATCTTCCTGGACCAGGGCTCGAACCCATGTCCCCTGCATTGGCAGGCGGATTCTTAACCACTGTGCCACCAGGGAAGCCCTGTATTTTTAATGAGAGTAGAAAAAAATATATTCTCCTAAAATGAACAAAGTTGGCATCTCTCCCTGGAAAGCCTTAAAGGTAAGACAGGAATGAAAGCAAGCACACAACAATGCCAACAACCATCTGGGATTCTGTTCGTAAACTACTGCAAAAGCAGGGCTAAGATGTGCTGCTTACATTTTGGTGGCACCATGGTGTTTCCCAGGAATAACATACATATCATACGATCACTAATACCAGAGTATATAAAGAACCCTGATATTAAACCATGCTCTTTACTCCAAACTTGCCTTGGCCCAAGAGTTGATAAAAGCATTGCTAGGAGTAAATGCCAAATTAACAAACCAGAAGTTCCTCTGGGGTTTATCTTTGTACTCATAGTACCTAATACAGGCACTGAGGAAGAAAGTTATTACATCCTAAAGGCTTGAATGAAACACAAGGAAACATTTCTAGAACCTAAGAGCTGTAAAAGATTGAATATTTCTGGGCTTCCCTGGTGGCGCAGTGGTTGAGAGTCCGCCTGCCGATGCAGGGGACGCGGGTTCGTGCCCTGGTCCGGGAAGATCCCACATGCCGCGGAGCGGCTGGGCCCGTGAGCCATGGCCGCTGAGCCTGCGCGTCTGGAGCCTGTGCTCCGCCACGGGAGAGGCCACAGCAGTGAGAGGCCCGCGGACCGCAAAAAAAATAAAAAAGAAAAGAAAAGAAAAAAAAAGATTGAATATTTCTACAGATATTTAAGCAGTACACTTTCTATTTTAACTTTCACACATACACCTTACCTTTCCTGTAATTTCCCCCCACCTCCCCACGCCCTCCCCATTGCTCGGAGAAAAGGGTTAGAACAAATGATTGTGGAAGGATGTTCCAAATTTGATTGTCCAATACAGAGAGGTAGAATGTGGTATTGTTTCCAGGAAGAACTCCTCAGTAGAGGATAAAAATTTCATAGCATGTGTGGTTAAGCTTTGCAGGACATCATTTGACCTATGGATTATCTAAATCCTACACATCAGGTTTCCAGTAGGATTTAGCCACAAATATGACTTTACATATATGGCTCTCAAATTATCATTCTACATTCCCTTCTACTCTATTTAAGCCCTTCTATCAGAGATAGGAACCACACAGGCACACAAAGCCCTCTCACTTCTACTCATTAAATTACAGCCAGTTTTGAAAATCTTGAGATGTAAAAGACTGGGTGCTGCCTTTCGCACAATCCACAGATTGCGGCACTGCCAACAGCTCAAGTCTTGTTTTGAGCGTTAAAATAACCAGAAGTGGTCACAGGAGTCTAACTTGGCTTGAAGGCTTCCAGTGAAAGGAAATGCACTATCTTCAAAGGAAATTGCATTGATTTGGGGTTTGCCCTAAATATTAGAAAATAATTTTTCTAAATTATCAGTTATTTTATTATCTAATAACTGAACCACATTTTTCTTTCTTGTAATTTCCAGAGCTACAAAACGAAACAAAAACAACCACACAGTAAAATAAAAGAATGTTTGGGATGCTACTGAAAGAACCATAAAAATCTCTTATTAAAAATGGAAATAATTTATCTGTTTAAGGAAACAAAAACTTACCTAAAGATTTACTCTCTGCTGTCTGTTCAAGCTCTCTGAAAGCACTGTATTTATCACCAGGCTCTATGATGAAAAGACAGAAGCCCAATTAAGGTTAGGAACCTTAAGATCACAGCTCAAGGACATTCACCATAAAAGGTCACCACTAAAAACAAAAATTTACATTCATAGGTTCATGAATTTATGAACTGTTTTTACCTCCAAATGGAACAGTATTTTCAGAGGACTTGTCAGCTGCAATTCCTTTAAACACAGCATATTTATCCACTGAAGCTGATCCTTTAGTTCCAGGAAGTGGCATCAACAAAGAAGGGGCACTAAAAGGGAAAAAGAAATATTTCTTAATGACTAGAACATTGTCTCCTTACCTTGTCATCAAGGAAGAACTTAGAGTTAAAATGGCACACAGATAACCTAGTTAAAACTCATGGCTCCCTGCTTTAAAAGTTAGAAACTATATAGGTACACCACAAATGACAAAAAACAACATCCTTTTCCTTGAAAAAACATATATTGAAACAACACTCAAGCAATAATTCTTTTCTTGATTATGTGAAAAGGAGTCAGATCCACGCTGACCATCTATCTAATCATCTTTAAGCCATAAGAACCACTGGAATGGCATTAGAAATAGATTATTATAGAATGATGACTTCCTGTAATTTTAAATTTAGGTCCATAAAACTGTGAGTGAACTGCTCCAAGTACGTATACCCAATATTTTAAAGTAAATTATGTTAACGTTAATATAAATTATTCTCTAAAATGGGTTCAGAATGCAGAGGTGGAATAGTTAAGATAAAAATCTATTTATGAAATGCTGTTCAAGCCAAGATGTAAATTGTCCTTCTTTTGATCACACTGCATTGCTTAGTGGCACAAGTTCCCACATCTGATAAGCAGCAGTAGAGGTAATACAATTTGCATTTTTACGAGGATCACATCAGCAGTTCCAGAAGCTATCTTTGCAGCAAAACAACAATCACTTCAAAATTAGATAAAGATACTTTAGCCTGTGGACACATTTCCCTGCTGGATGGAAAAATAGTGTAATGCGTAGTACCTGTGTGGGTAATTCTTGGGCGGCTTAAGCACAGACTATAAAAGCACTGCCTTTTTTTTCCCCCTTATCAGACCCAGGCAGCTCCCTGGAAGAACCACCTTTACATATGAATGACTACATTCCACTACTAGCTTGTGTCATTCACTACCATACACACAAGTTATATAAATGGATTTCTATTGAGTTCTTTGCCCTGGAGCAAAAATTTTCTACAGTCATTTAAATCTTATCAGTGGCCTACAAGCAAGGTAAAAACCCTGCTCTTGCACATGCATGCTAATGGGCGTCTGCAGTGCCTGGAGGACTTAGTGCTATCAAATATTATAATTTCACACCAATACCAAACAGCTGCTACATATTTGATCTGGACAAATAGGTCACTGTTTATACAGTATAGGTGGATTTCTAAAAGTTCCATAAGTAATTAAACTACAACACACTGAACAGAATGTTACACAGGAATAAAGGTAATTAATGTATTAGGAAAAAACCACAAAGTTGAATGATCTATTTGTTTTTTCATGATCGCCAACGTTAGCTATGGCCCTTTAAAGTCCATGGTAAAATCTTCCACTAAATATGACATTTATTTGAATATTATTAATTTAAAAATTATTTTCAGAATTGGAAAAAAACCAGAGGATCTTCAGAGTAATGTAGTACTGCTGAGTGAAGTCAACAAAATAAAATTCCATTCAAAAAACGCTATGACTCAGACTGTAATTTTATGCATATTACAAAGGAAGAATTCATTCCAGTTCTTTCCTTAAAGTTTTTATTAAAAAAAACTGTAATCACCATCAAAGTGTTTATGCCAGTTATATAAAGTAGTTATCTGTTCCAAACATGCAAATGGTTATTTCTACTGTTTAATACTAACGAAAGGTACTCAGTGAGAGAGGCATACTGTTTTAAAATTTAAGACCCTGCATTCTATTGAAAGATAAGACTTTAGAGAATTTGGCCACAAAAAAGTGCTTTGCTTTTTCTCTAGTGTATCATTTGTGTTTTACAGTTACTTCACGTGGCTGTGGTAGGTGACTTTACTTAGTTGCTCAACCTGCTAAATACATCCATTTAAAAAGCAAAGAAAATAAACCAACTCAAAACTCCTACGCCTTAATCCTTTTTGAACTATTCTATCGTCAGCGCCCCATGACCGCTTTGTTTATTATACGAGGCTCCCCAGTGCCTGGCACACGGTAAGTATTTTCCAAATGGATAAATGAATGATGTTGCTCCCTTTCAGATGCCCTTTCATGCCAGCTCAAGTGCTATTCCTCCTTTGACTCTGACATCCAGTTCAACACCGAGTCCAACCAATTTCTCAGATACATACTTTTCAGTATCTGTAACTCTAAACCCAGGGTAACTCTCATAACCTCACAACAGGACTACCATGGAAGCTGCATTTATCCCATACCTAGTAGCAAAAATCACTTTCACCATGCCACTTATTTCTAAAATGCTTTACAGATTATGTCACAAATCATAAGGCATCCCATAACTGGTGCCTGCCCTTAACTAGTGTCATTTTTTCAGACTAACAATACTCTTGGCTCCAGCCCATTTTAACACCTTACTTGCCTTTTCATCTTCTCAAAAAAATAATGTCCATTTTTGCTTAAAAATACTGCTCAAAGTGGTCCTACCTATTTATATCATGATTTAACAAATATCCTTTTAAAATAACTCACAATATGGAATACAGATCATCATAAACTAGGGAATTCATTATACATGAACACACAAACTCACCACTGAAGGAGCAATTCTAAGAGAGTTTTATTAGATAATATAAATACCCAGATAAAACTAACAATCTTTAGAGCAGAAACTGTGCTTTTTGCTTCTGTATTTCTAGTGCCTACCCCAGTGTCAGGCACACAGGAGGTGCTATGTAAATGTTTCTGAATGAATAAAGAAACAACGAGTGTGGATTCTTAGACATGAACAAAATGTTTTCATGCAAGAAAAGCACAGAAGTAGTCAAGCCAGAACTGAAGAAGAAAAATCTGCAAAGTATGGCTGTATATGAAAGTAAACTACTGGGTGGAGATAATGCCACACAAAATTGCTAATACCCCATATATCTCAGGTCTGGCCACCATCTTAAAACTTTCTATGCCCAAATTTTAATTTCATCTGCTGAAAGTTTTCTCCCTGAGGAATGAACCATCAATTTGTTAAATCTGGTTTGTAACCTTCATACTACAATATATTCATCCAACAAATCTTTATTAATTACATATTACAGGCTAAGTACTACATACAGACACATGAAATACTGTCTTCAGGTACTTACAGCCTAGTGAGGGGAACAGTCAGGTAAACCAGTAATGGCAATTACGGCACAGATGTTCACAGGCTACCATGGCAGTAGAGAAGAAGAAGCCCTTAACTCATCTTAGAGGTGGGGACTGATGGAGTGGAGTTAGTAAACACTTCCTATAATGAACCGATTTTCGACATGGAACTAGAATTAACTAGAGAGAATTTCAGATTGAAGAAAACAGAATGGAAAAGGCCAGAAGCTTGAAAGAGCATGGTCAGTTTGGCGGTTTACGTGTGGCTGGAGGTAAGCTGTGGAGAAATGGCAACAGTCAAGAGGGTTGGCAGGAGCCAGATCACACATGGCCTTTTCCCATGCCAAGCAGAGCTGACAGAGTTGATGGCGGTAAAGGAGAGAGAAAGGAGACAAAAACAGCATGTTTCTGATTAGGTGACTGGATATGGTGATCTAACAAATTCTTATTTAGCTTTGAGCAGGAAAACAATGAATCATTTTATGGAGGTAATTTGAGATGACTTGGGTCATTCAGATATGTTCTAGATAGCAGTAGAACATATCAATTTGTGCAGAGGAAGAGACCTGAGAAAGAACTGTTATGTGTCTATCAGGTTAATACGTGTGTGCGCTGGTACAGCGGGCTTGGAACTCCCAGTACTTTACAGTCACACCCCTCGTATGTCTCTTCTATGTGTCATTTATAAGTGTTTGATGTATTCTTAAAATCAGGAGAATAATGCTTTCCCTAATTTCTAATTCTCTATAATGCCTATCCCTTAGTTCTTCATACAGTGTCTGCAGGAAGTGTTGACTAAGAAATAATCAATTGGTTAAAATACAAAAGATGAATGAAACTGCACAAATAAGAACATAAGAGAAATAGAATATGTACCCTGACAAAAACAAGTTCTAAAAGCAACCAAAAACATTCACATTGCTTACTCAAAGCCTCATGTGCTCTACTCAGTGGAAGAAGTATCTACTAAGTACTTTTTAAAAATGATGGGGCTTCCCTGGTGGTGCAGTGGCTGAGAGTCCAACTGCCGATGCAGGGGACACGAGTTCGTGCCCCAGTCCGGGAAGATCCCACATGCCGTGGAGCAGCTGGGCCCGTGAGCCATGGCCGCTGAGCCTGCGCATCCAGAGCCTGTGCTCCGCAACAGGAGAGGCCACAACGAGAGGCCCGCATATGGCAAAAAAAAAAAAAAAAAGATGGAGATAGGAGCTTCAAGATGGCGGAAGAGTAAGACGTGGAGAACACCTTCCTCCCCACAGATACATCAGAAATACATCTACACGTGGAACGACCCCTACAGAACACCTACTGAACACTGGCAGAAGACCTCAGCCCTCCCAAAAGGCAAGGAACTCCCCCACGTACCTGCGTAGGGCAAAAGAAAAAAGAAAAAACAGTGACAAAAGAATATGGACAGGACCTGCACCAGTGGGAGGGAGCTGTGAAGGAGGAAAGGTTTCCACATACTAGGAAGCCCCTTCACTGGTGGAGACGGGCAGTGGCGGAGGGGGGAAGCTTCGGAGCCACGGAGGAGAGCGCAGCTACAGGGGTGCGGAGGGCAAAGTGGAGAGATTCCCGCACAGAGGATCGGTGCCAACCGGCACTCACCAGCCTGAGAAACTTGTCCACTCACCTGCCGGGGCAGGCAGGGGCTGGGAGCTGAGGCTCTGGCTTTGGAGGTCAGATGGCAGGGAGAGGACTGGGGTTGACTGCGTGAACACAGCCTGGAGGGACTAGTGGCCACAGCTAGCCGGGAGGGAGTCCGGGAAACGGTCTGGAGCTGTCGAAGAGGCAAGAGGCTTTCTTCCCTCTGTTGCGCAGTGCGCGAGGAGAGGGGATTCAGAACGCCGCTTAAAGGAGCTCCAGAGACGGGCGCGAGCCGCGGCTATTAGCACGGACCCCAGAGACGGGCATGAGATGCTAAGGCTGCTGCTGCGGCCACCAAGAA